CGCCATCAGCAAGATGTGCTTCATTTCAGGCGCAGAACTCTCAGCCATGTGACAAACAAAGAGTGTAGTCTCCTGTTTCTTATCCACAAAATAATATTCATTTTTCAACCACTGAAAAATGGGTAGAGACGAGAGCGGGGTTCGAACGCCTGACTTCACATCACCGTATTTCAGCGCTCAATCGATCGGCAACTCTTGTCTAATAATAGTGAACAAGTGAACGAAGTCTATTAGGTATTTAGAAGCAAACGGTTGCGTCATATATCTTTAAAAACAGTTTGAGGCACCTACATACTTATTCAGGTTAAATTTCTCAATCTCATTTTAATGCCATCTTCCTTTTCGATAAAAGTGATCATTTAGTTGTTCCAGATGGAGACAGTAGGCGGAAATTAAGGTCCTTACCGAACTGCCGACAAAGAAGATTCCAAAAGACACGACTATCCTCATGGAAAATAAGAAAAGTGAACAATGACCAACTCATTGTTCCTAACAAATAAGTAATCTCGTCTGCCTTTAAGCTCATTAATATATGTTCAATTCCCAAGTTTACTCACATTTATAACTATCAGCGTCTCCTTGCCCCCTGCTCCATTTTCCTGCTTTTGATTTGTGGACCAGCTTAAAGTCACTGTGAATCTGTCAGTTTAACTTTAAATGTGCTTATGCACTCAGTTCCTTATATGTTTCCATCGTATTACTTAGCCTTCATCAGCTTGCGGATAACAGCAGGCGGCTTCAGTTGAAACTGTAACTAGAATGGGAATTTTTTTTACACATTGTAATGACGACGGCTTCTGTTTCCTAAGTCAAACAGTCGGATTATAGAACTCGAAACTGTTGCTTTGATGAAGATGCATAAATAAAAAGTAGACTGGGGAAAGACACCATGGCAGATCGTTACTTAACAAGAAGGTAAAGGTGTACAGCCTCATAGTCATGACATAAAAGTGCAAAATAATCTTTCAGCGTTCATGAAATAGGGAATCATGCTGAAAGAATTATATAACATCCTCATTATCTCTCTAACTATCCTCATTATCTCACTATCTCATTGTCATTATTAGAGAGCATTGTCTCTCTAACATTATACGTTATTATGGTAAGGAGTGCAGCAGCGTAGACAATCTCAATTGAAAATTTCTGCTACTCTTCTGGATTCATGTCGCGTTAGCACAGAGTTTATTGGCATTTTGTAGCCAAGGGGACCGCTTAAACAGACAAAGGTTCCACAGTATTATAGTAACTGCTAGGCATGGGCACAATGTAGTACCACTTCATTGGCTCGAAAAACATCATGTTCGAACACTAAAGAATATATCTTTATCCGTAGGCATACACGTAGTAGTTTAGGTAAGTTTTATCATAATTAATCAATATGTCAAACATTGAAAAGGCGCACAGAAACATAAATTTATTTGTTTTTATATAAATATCGGTTAACAGATTATTTGCCGGTCAATCGATCATGAAATTCACGGCGACTTTTTCCGGACATTTAATACAACCTTCTGAGAAAGGTAAAGGTGATAGTGATTGAGGTTGACAAATTTGACAACTACTACGGTTACTAGAGTCGACAGCTGCGCAAAAGCGGGGTATTAACATTCCTAAAAACGTCACGATGATGCCGTGTCGTGCATGAAGCAGGCGAAAGGGTGTTTCGAACGCTGTGCGCTGCTCAACAAATAAACAGAAATCGATATCTTGATGCCACCTGGTCTTAAAAATTGTTCTGTATTATGCAAATTAACACAATTCCATGATAGAAACCAGTTTCATTATCGCTAGGGTTCCGCTGTTCTAATTTGACAGGCTGAGGGGGATGCTTGAGCTGCCATCAGTTCATGGTATTTTAACAACTGCCACCATTCGACGCATCTGACACCATTTTTATCGATTAAATTAATTCACCAATAATTCCGTAAGTAACATGGATAAGAAGTCAGCTTCAAACTCGAAAGATGTCAGGTCTGAATCCCCAGAAAGAAAATTCGGTGTGTTTCCTTTGATCAACGAATTCTCGCCTCGTTACCTTGGTGCTAGCAGTCGAGAAACGCATCGTAATTGATTTGTTAACAGAAACGTCAGCGTTGTCATGCGAAAAGAGGCGATAGATACGGTCACCTTATTTGGTGCGAGGGTCTGCGATGGTCGTAGTTCGCTTTGATTGATTTGGTAGTTGATTATCGCCGTGACGATTAGCACAAGGTGTAAATCCTGTTGTGAGCGGATTCGATTTTCATCTCTCTCCCATGTAAAGTATAATGCAGAACCACGAAGCTCACGATTTTGTTTTGAAAGAAATTTTATTTTTTTCTTACAAGCATAATTTTCTGCCTCTGTCTTGGTCAAATCAAAACCCAATGACCAAAGATTTAAAGGATGTTCAGTGAAACAGCTTGCTGCTTCGTAGAAGTAGTACAATCCGGAACGACCTTGCTTATCAGAAAAATAGACGTCACGGTAAAAAATTGCGAATACCAAGTCTTGATCCCATTTAGCTACAACGATCAGGCGATTGTGACTGAAGAGCATAACAAGGTATAGCCCAAGTTTCATTCATTTAAATTTGTCGTCGTACTGTGTGTGTTTTTTTAACAAGCTACAGCATTACGGAATCACTTTGGTTAGATTCATCAAATTTGTAACTGAACGCTCTTGTAACATATGGTCCCCGTAGGCGACTAGAAGTTAGCGGGCAATGGGCAATACGTTTAGCAGTGTAAATCTGACATAATTAATTTAATTGAAATCTTAATTTACTGTCGGATTTATTGAAAATTGGAAGGCTGTTGTTCGTGGTTGCTACCCAAGAATATCAGTATTAAATCATGTCTCATTTCATGCACACATTTCCTACAACTAGAAGCAAATTTGTCTGACATTACGCTACTCAGTCTTATCAGGAACTCGGTATTGCATCCCATGCACGACAGGCATCAAAGTTCACGAAGCGTTGGTCTGCCTAAATGGCCCTCTCTAAACAATTAGAAGCAAAGGGGTAGTGCTATCTTGCGGGGTAAAACTCGGTGTAATGAATTCCATCCGGCGTAACCACCGCTTTATCGGTGTAAAGTCAGAGAGAGCACCATTTCGACATGTAAATCCGGCATCAGTGATTGAAATATATAACTGAACGCATAAATTATTTTCTTAGCTAACTGAGACTTAAGTTACGTCTTGCCTAAGCATATGCCGATGTCTCGCCAAAGCATTTGATTTTTATATGTGTCGACTTGATAATGAATTGTTGAGAGTGAATCCAAGAAAGAACATGCTCACAGGCAAATCCGTTCTTCTACATTTCATACCTGTTTCTTTTCAGTTTCGGTTATCGGCGAAGCGCAGATCTGGATAACAAGGTATCCCATGTAGCCGTCGCTGTTTTTGTCATCCAGCAGCACCTTCATATCTATAGACCTTAAAAATTTATCAAAATAGTATTTGTCTACCAGCTGGTCTAAATCAGCGATTGGAAACAAATACTGAAATTTCTTACAAAGACACAGTATCATGACTGAATATCATTATTTCACTAATGTAGTTACCGTATAACTTTACACAGATTATAATTCGTATTATGTCGTTATACTGTTCTACAGAAAGTAAGTTTCCGTAGTTGAGTGTTGCCAAAAGCACTTAACTCATCCAATCACTGGATTTCCTGAAGTATTTCACCGTCTCTTGCACCTAGTTCCCTATGAAGCAGTCAGGCTATAGCGGTGCGCTATTAATGCAGAAGCAGTGCATTTTACTGACTAAAACAATTATTAAGCGTCACCAGCAGCGGTGCTTCAAGAGTTGAAACTCATGCGTATAGAAGCAGCCAAAATGTCTAGAAATTGGAGTACTCAAATCCATATTTTTGCACTCTAACGTATGTACCCGCATAATCAGACAAAACACTCTCAATGAGTGAGGAACGTTGGAGATTAGACTGAAGGCACATCAGTTCAACATGCCTGCTCACTGGACTAACTTCGGCCCGTTAGATGAGGTCATCATACGTTGAAGTTTGACGGTCTTAGAACCATTTATTCAAACTGTCAGTGCATTTCTCCCGTCAAAAGCAGTCTCACCTTTGTCTCAAATGCCTTTTGACTTACCTAGTATACGTGGAAGTCGATGATATACGAAGGACTACTCGCAAAAGACAAAAACGCCCTACGGCAAGCCGCTCTGTTTATTGCCCAGAGGAGGAATATCAGTGAAGAACGGCTGACAGAATGGACTGCGGTCCAGGGTATGAAATCGACTTGGCGATCAAAGTCGCCCGTTGCACGTAAAGATCTTAAAGCTTTGTTCTAAGCAGTGAGCAGCTGTTCAACCCTCCGGCAAAAACCAAACTATACCGTCGTTCACTAATGTCGTTTCTGTGGAAAGTGCTGCGAGTTCCAGAAGGTTCGAAAACTAGCCCTTTCAGAAACTTTTGCTTGGGAACGTAATCAACCTTGATCGACGAGCAATATGCCTGAAAGCTGAACCTCCATTTTTATAGCTTTCGCGTATTTTGAAACAGCATTGAATTTTCTGTGCTGAATGTTTAAATAAAGCCTCATTGAACGGCATAGTACTGCGCACGTATTATATTACTATGCTACATACTGCACATTGTATCATATAATTGTACTTAACCTACGTCAACGATATTGTCACTCATGATACTCTACCGATAGCAGAATAATTGGATTGTCAAAAGAGGATCGATTAAGAGTAAAGCGGCAGGGTACATCATTTTAGACTGGATGTTCTTCAGTGCCATCTTACTGCTCAACACATAGTCACACTCTTGCAACTGCCGACGTACTAATTTATCACCATTGCAGTGAACTTCATCTAGTGTACCACTACTGCTAATTCAGCAACTTTCGTTTGCGGTGTTGAATGCTCATCTGACTCAAAAATCTAATGAAGTTTGATCCTGCAATTGCGAGAGTCCTTTTACAACTGCGGTTGAAAATTGTTGCCTAAGGATTGTATGTCGAATCAATTTTTGTACCAGTATAAACCTCTATTTAGAAATTAGACCACATGATGCGTCTTTTAATGTTACTTATCTTCGTTCATCTTATGATCGTGGCTAAAAATAATGTGCAGCATGGCCCACTGCATCGTCCCGTAGAGTGAACGAAGGATTAAAAGCTTGAGATGGTATTTTTCAAAACAGCAATCACAGAATTTTATTTGTATCATGGGAAACAATCCCGTATCAGTCAGGAATCGATTCAGCAGCACCCACTACGAGAGGTTGTCCGGAGGCTCTCTAGCCAAAACTGAATTGTGGGAACCCGAGGACTAGAAGCGACCTCAAAACAGGGAAGGCAGCCTTCGTTACAGACCATTTGATAGTTAACGTATTTACAGCAATATCTCTGGCACTGTAAATCGGTTGTACTGTGGTGTATTCAGCTTTTGTACACGTATTTTTCGAGGTATCGAGGGCTACAAGACGAGCACAAAGGAAGTACAAAGAGAAATGAACGGATTTGCTACAGGTGTGTTATCGATATTCTTTTTAGAACTTCATTTAAGCGAAATTTTATTTGCATTACTCACTTGCGCTGATCCAGTTGATCCAAATATAGCGAAGCACCTCCCATGTAATCGTCCGCCGCGAAACGGTCGTAATCGTACACCTTGGCAGGAAAACACTGAACGAAAACAGTACAAAATGGAGTGGAGCAGACGTTACCAGAATATCCAGGGGACAAGAGATGTCGTCGATCAGGAACGTAAATCGTTCGTTCCAGTACGGATTCAAATTCTGAAAAATTGTTCTGCTACGGTACACCAGCTTTTTGCCATGCCTGAACTTGACGTATGGGTCACTGCTTCCTAAAAGAGGGTTTTAACAAACTTTAGGGTTCGCACCCCGGTTCTCAGCCTGTATTACGAATGGGGTATACAGCAAATTACCAGCGAGAGGGTAAGCCGTACATATGCTCTGCCTCTTAATGCATAGCATGATTAGTGTTGGAATGAAAGAATGAATTTTATGAGGGTTCTCACATTATTTTGAGACGGAAGACAGAAAATGCTGAAAACCGTAAGCGTAAAAATTCATGTACTTTAGATTATACCTGTTATATCTCGGATTGCTAGATCACATCCCTCAGTCAGGTGAACTGTGATGAGGAAAGCAGGACTAGCTGAACCATCCGGGCTCCCTTTAGAATCCTGAAAAGTAATGCGTTTAAAAAATATGTTAGTAACTGGCTTTAAGTGTTTAGTAACTTTTATCTAAATTTATAAAAAATTAGAATGATAGGTTTAGCAGCTGGATAAGTTGAAATATTTTTAGGTAGCGTTTACGAATGAAAGCAGACAGGATGTA